GTAAAGGTTTAGTATAATTGTACAGGTCTGGTATTATAGGAAAGGTTTAGTATAATAGTACAGGTCTGGTATTATTGTACAGGTTTAGTATTATAGTACAGGACTGGTATTATAGTACAGGTTTAGTATTATAGTAAAGGTTTAGTATTATAGTACATGTCTGATACTATAGTACAGGTATGGTATTATAATACAGGTCTGATAGTATAGTACAGGTTTATTTATATAGTACAGTGTAGTATTGTAGTATAGTCTGGTGTTATAGTACAGACATGGTATTATAGTACAGATATAGTATTATAGTACAGGTATGCTATTATAGTACAGGTCTGGTATTATAGTACAGGTACAGTATTATAGCACAGGTCTGGTATTGTATTACAGGTTTAGTATTACAGTACAAGTCTGGTATTGTAGTACAGGTATAGTATTATAGCACCGGTCTGGTATTATAGTACAGGTTTAGTATTACAGTACAAGTCTGGTATTTTAGTACAGGTCTGGTATTATAGTACAGGTACAGTATTACAGCACAGGTATGGTTTTATAGCACAGGTCTGGAATTTTAGTACAGGTAAAGTATTATAGTACATGTCTGGTATTATAGTACAGGTATAGTATTATAGTACAGGTATGATATTATAGTACAGGTGTTGTATTACAGTACAAATATTGTATTATAGTACAGGTATGGTATTATATTACAGGTGTAGTACTATAGTACAAGTCTGGTATTATAGTCCAGGTATAGTATTATGGTACAGGTCTGGTATTTTAGTACAGGTATAGTATTATAGTACATGTCTGGTATTATAGAACAGGTATAGCATTATACTACATATCTGGGATTATAGTACAGGTATAGTATTATAGCACAAGTCTGGTATTATAGTACAGGTTTGGTATTAGAGTATAGGTCTGGTGTTATAGTACAGATATGGTATTATAGTACAGGTGTTGTATTACAGTACAAGTATTGTATTATAGTACAGGTATGGTATTATAATACATATCTGGTATTATAGTACAGGTATAGTATTATAGTACATATCTGGTATTATAGTTCAGGTATAGTATTATTGCACAAGTCTGTTATTATAGTTCAGGTTTGGTATTAGAGTACAGGTCTGGTGTTATAGTACAGGTGTTGTAATACAGTACGAGTATTTTATTATAGTACAGGCCTGTTATTATAGTACAGGCCTGGTATTATGGTACAGGCCTTGTATTATAATACAGGCCTGGTATTATAGTACAGGCCTGGTATTATAGTAAAGGCCTGGTATTATAATACAGGCCTGGTACTATATTACAGGCCTGGTATTATAGTAAAGGCCTGGTATTATAATACAGGCCTGGTACTATATTACAGGCCTGGTATTATAGTAAAGGCCTGGTATTATAGTAANGTTTAGTATTATAGTACAGGTCTGGTATTATAGTAAAGGTTTAGTATAATAGTACAGGTCTGGTATTATAGTAAAGGTTTAGTATTATAGTACAGGTCTGGTATTATAGTAAAGGTTTAGTATAATTGTACAGGTCTGGTATTATAGGAAAGGTTTAGTATAATAGTACAGGTCTGGTATTATTGTACAGGTTTAGTATTATAGTACAGGACTGGTATTATAGTACAGGTTTAGTATTATAGTAAAGGTTTAGTATTATAGTACATGTCTGATACTATAGTACAGGTATGGTATTATAATACAGGT